TCTCCTCTCTATTAGGAGTACGGCTGGTGATTTGTTTCGAAGGCTTCGACATTCAAATTTCGAAGCTTTGAAGAATCAATGCTTCAGCATTAACATCTTCGAAGGTCGAAGTTTCGAAGCTTCGAAGCTTTTACACTTCACTCTTCGAAATTTAAAAGAATCAAAATTATAAAATTATACAATTATTGATTTAATATAGCTAACTGTAACGAATATATTTTTATCTAAAAAATGTATGAAATATATATATTTACGAATATGTATAACTCTTAATCCTGTATCGCGCAGTATCTTCAAATACGATTAATTTCTAAATAAAAATGACACTTCGAGTTACACATTAATAGTAAATATTTTTTCTATATCACATGTATTTTTCTTAGTATGTTAGCACAAGATACGAAACACGCGAGGTAATAATGAATATATAATGATTTGATTGAAGGTGAATTTGCGGTAGTTTTCTTTTGAGATATAGGATACAATGCTTCTCGTACATATATTTCGTGTTCGTCTCAACGTTACAAATGTACTGTGCCAGTATTTTGACTATTCTTAAACGAATAACAATTGACAGCAATAGAACTATTTGTATGTCATCAGTTCCGGTACAATCATATATATAGATAAACCATTGATATTAGGAGTCCCAGTTGAATAGGTGACCATAAATTTTTTTCTCTTCACAGTGGAGCACTCCTGATTTCAAGGTATTATTTTTTCTTTTATATTTGATGGTACTTATGCTCTTGTAATTTATGTAATGTTTTTATTTCAACATATTTTTGTTTCAACTTCCAATTTTTGGCGATACCAACTTGAAAGTGTATTACGAATATATTTTCATTTTTTCTCTATTCGCGCAAATGTATTTTTCAAAGTTTCGAAGACATTAAACTTCGAAAATTTGGAGTTAACTTATTAAAAAACTGAAGTTCTTTCGAAGCTTCGAATTTTCGAAATTGTCAAAAGTAACAATCCTAATTGAGAGTACGTTATCCACAGATGGCGTTTTCTCTCTTCCTCCATCCTTACTATTTTTTGTATTATTTTTGTATATTTTTCCACTCTTTTTTACTTCTATATTCTTAGAGAGTTGAATATATAGTAAACGCCTTTACCTACTCCTCTCACCGCCCTCTCACCAGGCTCGAAGAAGCGACATACGGAAATAATTTGGCTCTATCAAATCTCATTTACACTCATGACTCATTCATCAATTTATTCGCGTCCGGTGGCGATATTTCAACGTCTTCGGTGCGCCGCTATCTTACTTCGCGATGTGAAAGGCACTTCGCGATCGAGAAACATTCCCGATCATGTACCGGTAAAGTGCATCCAGAGGATTCCCTGATGAATGACCCGAACTCCTTTGAATCGAAGTATCAATGCCTGCGTAAAATGTATAGATGTCAAATCGTGTTGCGATTTAATCGTATTAATAATTTAATAATTCTCCCCCCCCCCCCCCTCTCTCTCTCTCTCTCTCTTTGTCTCGAGTCCCAGAATCGAATCTTGTTAAAATAGAATAACAAGAGTAACATTTAGCTGTTCTAAAGTTAAGCCATATCTATAAAGGGGCGGAAAATGATCGCGGACACGGTACATTAGCCCGTATCACCGGCAGCGATCTGAAACAGGTTTTGATCGACAGCGGCGTGGCACTCTGACGTAGAGTGCCGCGGCGGCGACGGCTCTCGTTTTCTTTATCCACCTAAGTATGCACACATCCGGCCGATCTGTACTCCAGCAACTTTCCTACTTCATTCATGGACGCATTCAGTGGCCTTTGAAGGTTGCACCGCAGAAAGGAGTGGTGGGCACGGTCTCCGCGCGGCATGGCACGCGGAGAGGCGGGCAGGGACGTAATTAGGGGGGAAACTTCGCGAGAGAGGAACTGCCATACAACATACACACGCACGTATGTATGACGTGCGAGAACCATACGCGGACACCTTCAAGTCGTATGCGATGGAATCCTGTATCCGCGCTCCGAAGCCCGCAGCTCAGGAACTTTCGCATTTGATGTAACTGTGTAGAAAAAGATACAGCGAGAAAGGTATACTTACTGACTGAGCCGAGAGTAGCTCACCGTGCGAGAACGGAATGCCTGGTCTCGTGCATATCTTTGCCGATTCATTGATAACTCCGACACGGGTACACGCTCACCTGGTTACGTCACTGACCGGCGCGGACGACCGGCTGACAACGCGGACCAGTTTCAGTATAATCCTTTCGTGGAAATGCATCGCTGATCCGCGTTCACGATCGCAATCGCATTTACCTAATATGGCCCACATCATCCAATTGCACTGGGATATGTATGAGCATATATCGCGTATTCTATGAATTATTCTAGCTCTTACAAAAATTTAATACTGAAAAGCACTGAATAATACTTTTAGTTCTTCAAAATGAATAATTAATTATTTATTGATCGGTACTCTTAGTCCGTTTTTATTTCAAGACTATAAATAATGTAAAGAATTTTAAGATGCTGACATGGCTCTGTGATTCTGTTGATAATATCTCAAGATTAAGACGGTCTTAAATATACACGGAAATAATAAAGTATCTTTATTGAAGTATCTAAAATGTTTAGCTAGTTACAAATCTGAAAATAATTTTGTTAAATCATCGAACTAATCACGTAGAACTTTCAAACATATAATGAACAATGCTGTAAAAGTTTTAACAAAATTATTTTCAGATTTGCATCTCTAAATTTCTAAATATTTTAATATAACTGCGTAAATCCTTTTCAATAAAAATTGACTATGAATATCGATCTGTAACTTTTAATATTAAATTAAAAGTATTACACTGAATTTCTTCAAAGTCTATGAGACTATGGTCGGTAGTCAGTTCTTATATTTAAGACTGTCTTAGGTACACTCTTAAGATGTTGTAAGCCAATCTAAGACCGGTATTTATAGTCGGTTCTCATATTTAAGATCATTTTAAATGCAGTCTTAAGATGCCATAAACTAAGCACAGAATAGCATAAGCATCCTAAAACATTCCTATTACCTAAGACAGTCTTAGACAGTCTCCTAAGAGAGAGACTTCAGGGAGGCTTATGTATGCAGAATATGAAAATAAATCACGCAGATAATATCAAATGCAAAAATCGCGTATTTCTTACTAATACTTGAATAAAAAATAATAATTTATTAATTACGATTCGAGTAAAGAATTCTCAGCTAACTTCATTGTGAACGATTTTGTCTACGGTTATTTGCAGGGTCTACGGTAACTATGGCCGAGACTTTCACCGTTTCTCCGCGTCGTTTACGGCAAATAATGCATCTCTCGCGAGTAGGTATGCGTGCACGCGCGCACGCACGCGCGCGTGCAATCTCTAAGGAATTCGGGTGGGAGAGAGGGGCGCGCGGAAAAGCTGAATGAATACAAATTTCTCAACGGTTGCGCAAGCCGTGACTCGGAGCGAAGCGAGATCTGTCGCGACGCCCGATATTCCAAGCCTGTAGTTCATGAACGTGGTCCCTAGCAACATGTTCCGTCATTTCGAGTAACAAAGAATCTACTAAGAATCTCACCGTTCATTCGAGCTATCTCGAGATCCTCTTCAGAATCTCGAAGCAAAGTAATAATCGCGCACCGAGATGCATCGAATGAACTCCGCGTTCCATCGAAAATTCCATTCCTCCGCTGTTCGAACACAGGTACACCGCGCAGGTAAACCCGCTCGCACGTGCGTGAGAGAGCGCGAACTCATGCGCGCACGCGCGCGTTAGAAAGGGTTGAAGTTATCGGCGAGCGCCCCGTGAATTGTGAAGGAGAGACCGAGAGGCGGAACGGGGCGAGGCGGGCGCACCGACACATAAGCACGCGGCACAGCGCGTGTATGCACACGGTGCACGTGTCGGAGCGGCACGGTGGTGGGGCGGAAACGTGAATGATCCATAGAGAGTCATTACGCTGGTGTGCGAAGGTGTAGCGCGCGCTGCGTTTGTGGTAGTGCCGTCGTGTCGGCGATCGCCCGGCGCTGCTCTGCGCTCATGCCATGGGCTCTCAATCGTCCGCGCTTAGTTGAGTTGCATCAAAGAACTCGCCGAGTGTGGATCAATTTTTGTAAGTTTCTTAACGAAAAATTGGCTTTTGTGACTCATCAAATATTTTCCAGCTATATATATTCAACTACAATATGGTTATTATTTGCCGAATCGAAGGAATAACGAGTGCCATTAAAAGGGAAGAAGCCTGATCTAATTGTAAAAGAATCATCGAGTGTGGACGTTAACATTTTTGAAAGTTTCTAATGGAACTAACCGCCGTCTGGAATTTCGTAATCGTTATTAACAAAGTTCTGTATTTATTTAACAACGTTTATTCGATCTATTTGTGAGAAGTTGAAGGGAAAGGATTGTTACCAGTTGTATTATCTCCGAGACGAAGCTGATTTTTAGAGAAGAAGTACATCAGAAGAGTCACTAAGTGCGGACAACAATTTTTTTAAAGTTTTTGAAAAAATTAATCGCTTCTCGCGATCTAATAGATGTCTATTCGCTTAAAACGTTTATTCAGTTTACACGTTGTTTTTTGGAAACTATCAAACCTATTGGGAATCATAATATAAAGAAGAAGAAGAATTGTGATCAATATACGTAATCGTGAACCGTTTAACATCTTTCAGTTATTCCCAATATATAAACCATTGTGTTGCTACGTTTTTCAACTTCCCATACAGACCTCTCCTCCAAGGAATACCCTAAAGACATCCTAGTCTTAAGGACATTCTCCGAACATTCTACATCCCAAGGACTTTCCTAAAACAGCCTATATCTCTTGAACTTTCTACATCCTAAAAACAATAAGGACTTTCTTAGGACAGCTTATATCCCTTGAACTTTCCTAAGATATTCCATGTGCCGAGAATATTTTGTATCTTAAGGACTTTCCTGGGACATCCTACATTCCGAGGAAATTATTCTCAGAATATCCTACGTCCTAAGAACATTCCTAGGATATTCCTCGGTTAAAGTGTACTGTATAGGTCAGAGACATCAGGGGTCAAGCACCGTCAAACGGAGCACGATACCTTGCACTCGACAAGTCCCGTGAATGACCGACGCTGAGAGTCGCTGAGCTACGTCATACAGTACTCGGCATTACGCTGCGCGGTGGGGTACAGTCTCGAGATAAGCGGTAGTGGTAGTGATGTGAAACATTCGTGGGTCGGGGCTGGTTGGCGGCATCGCCAGGCAGGCAAGCACTAAGCAGGCAGGCCAAGGGAGCGGTACGGTAGAAGTTAGGTGCGAGACGCGGAGCAAGAGCGGAGGAAACGGCACGGCACGGCGCGGCGCGGCGCGGTTTCGGCTTCTCGGCATCGGCTTCGGAAATGGCCGCGGGAAAGTAGAGAGCGGAGGCCGGACCGTTTCGTCGCTGGCTGGCAGGCTGCTGGTTCGGTTGGTCGGTCCGTCGGTTGGTTGGCCGGGTTGAATCGGTCGATCGTGGTCCAAGTTTTCGGAGCACTGTGCGCTCGTTTATCCGACTGCTCGTTCGGGGCCGCGCGATCGATTCACGCGCACCAAACGATCTCGCAGACCAACATGAGATGTGAGAGCGGTGCATCACCGACGAAACTTGAGAAGACATCGTTGGAAAACGGAAGCGACCTCGACGGAGGCGAGGAATGGCGCTTGGTGGATATGGTTCCTTGCTCCGGTCCGGTACGCGAGAAGAGGATGGCCGGCAACGACGGGACGACGACGAACAATGAGATCCTCGGCGCGGAGGGTGAGGAGGAGGGGCAGGGTACGTCAGCGCGAGGGGAACTGCATTCCAGAGTGGGCGGTATTCTGGAATGCGATCCCCCCGGTAACAGGAATTCGTCGAACGAGCGACCCGCCGCCACCGCCGCTGCTAACAACGAGGACGGTGTCTGCCGATATGCGGTCGGCGCTGCTAATCGTGCTATGTCTTTCTTCGAGATGTGCCAGGTATCATAAATAACGACGACTAACGGCTCATCGGCCGACTCGTGCCGGTTTGATTATGTCAATGTCCACATTATTTAAATCACAGTCGTGAATGTAGAAAAAAACTTATCGGACTCTTAATTTCGCGTTTTACAACGTAACTTTCCGTTGAATACAAACTGACAATATTATTATATCAATGTCATAATTTGCTATTCAATAATGTAACTGTTATGTATAACATGTGTTATATCATATGTATCTTCTCACACAGCACATACATCCAAAAGACGTTTTAAAGACATTTAAAAGATGTTACATTCTAAAAACATTCCCAGAATATTCATAGGATGTTGTGTACTAGGAATGGAAATTATAATACTGATGTAAAATTACTGTCGGTTTGTATTCAGCAGGTTTTGTGATAATTATGAGAACAAAAATCGAACTATTATTCACGAAACTGTATTTGTTCTTTTAGATTCGACTACAATATTTGTTCCCGCAACTGAGTCCACCCCCACGTTACAATATCCACGATGATTCCATAGAATCGACTGCGGAAATCTTGGCCAATGATGTGATGCGATACTTGTTGAAGGAGGACATCTATCTTATATCCCAGGATCCAGTCTCTCGCAGCATGAGACACAATGTATATCAAATGCTCAACAAACACAGCATTCTCTTTACGAGTATGGTAAATCGTTTAAACGTTGTCCCGGATACTGCTTATGAAACATTCATGGGGGTCGCCAACGAGCTGTTCTTACACGACGTTATCACATGGGCCAGAATTGTCTGTTTATATGCTTTTATGGGCAGATTGGCTTTATGGGCTAGGGACAGAAGAATGCACAGTCTTAAAAAGAAATTGCCTTTATACGTCTCTAGATATGTTGGTGAAAATATAACACACTTTATCAAAGGCTATGGTGGATGGGTAAGTGAGCGCAATTATTAATTATTGTAATGAGTATTTCAAATATTTCGTCACACAAACCTGACCTTGTCGTTTTGTAGGAACAATTATGTGTTGAATATCCTGTAGCCGAAGAAGTTAGTGGAGCAGTTTGGCGGAGTCTACTAATGACAGGAGCTACTCTTGGTTTGATCGCTACGATCTTGTCAGTGACTTCCTGATGGAACCTTATTGGATCGTGTGATCTGAGTACGTTTTGTTGTCAAGAAGCTTTCGCGTACTTACGTTCTATGAGAACACTTTCAAATGAAATGTAAAGAAATTTTTATAACAAAGGCGCAATGTTACATTTCACATCGGAACGATTCGATTCAAACGGAGCGTTTGCTACGTCTATACGAGAAATATGCAAAATTAACAAGAGATACATCAACGCGTTGACACACATAATTTTCATATCAATGTCACTCGGGCTTAGAATCATCCTACTTTTTATATAACTCGAACATACATAGCATGAGCGACAGACAATGACGCTAGTTTCCTATTACAATACCTTATAACAGACTAGTGAAATTAGTAAAATATCTTATTTAATTCTACAATAGACATTTTATATATTAAAGTAATTCCTAATAATAATAATACTCAAAATTTTGAAGAAATTTTTTAGAAATTTACGCAACAAGAAATCTCGAAATTGTATTGAATTTAGGTAGACGCAATCTATTTATTTATAATTTATTTTAGGTAGAGAATATATTAAATAATAAATTTTTCGAGTATTTTTGGTCACAGAACCGATCGCCACACACTTTTAAATTTTAAGGGATATATGTAATACCGAAAAAAAACGATGGCTACGAACGATGGATACCATCATGTATATTCAAATAATGGCTACTTTTTTATATGTTGATATATTCTATTACACTTGCAAAAATTTTATATGCATATTCAGAATAAATACTTTTATAAAATAACGATCGTTCTCCTGTAATCATTATTGTGAAACAAGAGAGAGATTTAAAAATGCCTACTACAAAAATAATTGTCGATCAATAATTCTCGCAATTCTACAAAAGATTTAATGTCATTTTCTATC